AAAAAGGCTTTTAGTACAGCATTGTGCATCTATTATCACAATCAATTTTTTGAACAATTTCATTACCCCCAAAAGAAACCCTATACCCTTTATTTGTCACCCCCTCCAATCCCTTCATTCCTCAACCACAAATCTCCTTCAGGCGCTATACATTTGCCTGTTCTAGACATTTTATACAAATGGAATCATATAATATGTGGTCTTTTGTGACTGGCTTCTTTGACTTAGCATAATGTTTTCAAGCTTCAGTACTTTATTCCTTTTTACTGCTGAATAATATTCTGTCCTGCCAGGGGAATCACGATCCCAACTTCTAACACTATAGATTAGTGCTGCCTGTTCATGAACTTCATGTGAATGGAATTACGTAGTGAGTAGTGTTTTGTGTCTGCCTCTTTTGCTCAACATTCAGTCTGTGAGATTCATGGTGTTACATGTGTCATTTTATTTTACTGATTTTTTAAAATAAATTCTATCTTATTTTTTTATTTAAACAATTTTCTTATTATTTATTGTTAATTGTACATATTGGGATGTATACAATGTGTGTTGTTCAAAACAAGGTAATTAACATGCCTATCACTGCAAACATGTATCATTTCTTTGTGCTGAGAACATTTGAACTTTTCTAGGCATTTGAAATTATACAATAAATTACTGTTAACGATAGACATCTAGCACGACTACAGAACACTAGATCTTATTCTATCTCGCTATAAGTTTGTATCCATTAAACAACCTCTATCTATTTCCCTTTCCTTCCTCCCCTTCCCCACCTCTAGTAACCACAATTCTACTCTCTACTTCTATGAGCTCATCTTTTTTTAGCTCTCACTTCTGAGTGAGAACTTGTGGTATTTGTCCATCTTTGCCTGGCTTATTTCACACAACATGATGTCTTCTGGGTTAATTCATACTGCCACAAGTGACAAGATTTTATTCTTTTTTATGGCCGAGTAGCACTCCATTGTGTATGTACACCACATTTTCCTTATCCATTCATCTGTTGCCACGCACTTAGGTTGATTCCATATCTTGACTATCGTGAATAATGCTGCAATAAACATGGAAGTGCAGATATCTCTTCAATATGCTAGTTTCTTTTCCTTTGGATAAATACCCAGTAGTGGGCCTGTTGGATCATATAGTAGTTCTGTTTTTAGTTTTTTAAGGAACACCCATACTGTTTTCCCAAATGGCTGTACTGTTTTACATTCCCACCAACACTGTATCAGAGTCCCTTTTCTCTGCATCCTTGCCAACATTTGTTATTTTTGTCTTTGAAGAGGCAGCATGCAGAATGGGAGAAAAATCTGCAAACTATTCATCTGAAAAGGGATTTTTTTTTTCCTGGGCTGGCTGGTATGGGGATCTGAACTCCTGACCTTGGTGTGACAACACCATGCTTTAACCAACTGAGCAACTGGGCAATCCCCAACCTGGGATTAATATCCAGAATACACAAGGAACTGAAACAATTCAACAGAAAAAAAAAAATCCGATTAAAAAATGGGCAAATGACCTAAATAAACATTTCTCAAAAAAGACACAAATGGCCAAGAGGTATATGAAAAAGTGTTCAACATCATTAATCAACAGAGAAATGTAAATCAAAACCAAGATGAGATATCATTTCACCCCAGTTAAGATGGCTATTACCAAAAAAGACAAAAGAAAACAAGTGTGTCATTTAGATCCTGTGTTCTCAAGGCTGGATGCACCATTTTTTATTTATTTATTCATCTTTATCACTTCTGCTTTTGTTGGGTCCCTTGGGGTTTTCCTCTTGAAACAGAGCACAGGGCTTCACGGACTCTTGGGTATGTGTCTCTGAGCAATTGCCCAGGCCTGTTGGGGAGGGAAGCAGGGAGGGCGGGAGAGTGAATGTTCACCCAGTCCGGGCCCCAAAGTAAACGTGCTTCTAGGAGGCCCTGTCTTGGCCTCTACCCTCAGCTCCTTCTCAGATTCCATCAGTGTTCTGTTATTCTGGCTTGGCTTGCAGTGGAGGGGTGAGCTGGCGGGCATCCTGGGTAAACAAGAGCAGCTGGAGAGGAGGAAGGCATTCAGGAGTGGGAGGATGGTCCCAATCAGACCTCCTTTCCAGGAGGGCTGCAGGGCTTGTATGGAGGCCCCTGCCCCAGGAGCCCTAGAACATAGTGGGACGAGAGGGTGCGGGTAGAAATAGGGGCTTCGCTGGGATAGGCCTTGCGCTGGGAAGGGCAGGCTGCCTGGCTCATGCCCAGCTCTGCAATGTACCAGCTGTGTGACTTTGGGCAAATTGCTTAGCCTCTCCCTACACTTCAGTTTTCTTATATATAAATGGGGAGAACAATCTGATAGGTTGTTTGAGAAATAAATAACCCAATGCACATAAAGACTCCTGCCCTATAGTTAGTGGTGGCTATTATGATGAAAACACGCCAGTAGCCAGCTAAGTACTTGATGTGTGTTATTTTATGGAACCTGCACATCAGTCGTGGAAGTAGACACATGTCATCCCTATTTGACAGATAAGGAAGTGGAGATATAGCAATGTTGAGAACCTGCCTGATGCCACACTGTGAATCCGTGGCAGAGACGGCTTTGATCCAGGTCTGTTTGACTCCAGAGCCCAGGCCCCTGCAACCAGCTCTGTGGGCTGAACTTGGCTGGAGGCCCAGCAGCACTGTACTGCAGGGTCGAGACTCAGTCCTCACATCGGGTTTGGGCAGCAGGACCTCAGGCTCATTTTCTCTGCAAAATGGACTGATGTGACCAGCAGGGTCAGGATCCTTCTCCTTCCTGGGTTCCTGGCTAGTGGGCTCCCAGCAATGGTGCAGGCTTGGGGGCTGGCCAGAAGGGCATCTGCATCTGCCCAGCCTTGGCAGCCCTGCCCCTGCTCTTTATGAGGGAGGCAGTCAGACCAGGAGCCACACAGCTGGCAGTCTTGAGTCTGCCTGGTGACCCCCTTGCTGGGGGTATGCCCTGCCCCTGCTCTCAGGGTGCTCCAGAACACAGGGCAGGCACACATATAGCTGTTTCTAACCCAGGCTGCCAAGTTTTAAATGGCTTTCTACAATATGCTGATGGGTCTGGAAATCAAAGCAGTTTGCCACAGTCCAAGAAGGCTTCACAGAGGAGGCCTCCTTGGAGCAGGTTCTGAAGGGTGAAGAGGACTTTCTTAGGTAGAGATGATGGTAAGGGTGTTCTTAACAGAGGGTATGGTGATAAATGCCAGCTACTCCATCCCCACCCTTGCCTGGCCATCTCTGTTTCTCAGGGGTCTGGGAGCTGGAGAATGACATTTTCTAGAGCCTCTTGCCAGTTGGTTTCTAGTTAGGATCCGCAACTGGGGAGAAGGCAGGAGGGTGGGAGATGCTAGCTTGCCTCTGGCTCTGGCCATGGCTGACTTGTGCAGGCTGTATAGTTTCTAGTAGCTCTGTTGGTCCCGGGGCTGTGGTGGCAGTGCCTGGGCAACTTGGTGGCGAGTGCCAGCCGATGGGCTTCGCAGCTGCTTCCTGACTTCTAGGTCACACCCTTCTCCCTTCTGCTCCTCCTACCCTCCGGATGCCTTTGGAATCAATTTTCCTTATGAGCTCCCTTTCTGCCTAAAGTAGCCGAGGGGTTTTCATTTTCCAGCCGGTCACTAATTGATACAATGCTGGAGCCACCCAGGCCAGCCCCAGGGTGTTAATGTTCAAGGAACAGAAGAATCAGCACCCAGAAAATGTGATGTTGTTTTATTTTTATTTTTTATATGCATGTCATGTCTTCCAACGAGTTCCCTGAGGGCAAGGACTGTGCCCCATCATCTAGTCATTCTACAGACATTTATTAGGACCTCACTGGTGGGGAATTAAATGAATGACCAAGTCCCCACACTCAGAGAACCACAGTCTAGACCTGCACCATCCGATTCGGTAGCCACTAGCCACCTGTGGCTACTGAGCACTTGAAATGCTGCTAGTCCAAATTGGGATGGGCTGTCAGCGTGAAACACACACTACATCTCAAAGATTTAGTATGAAAATAAGAATGTAAAATATCTCGCTAATAATTTTTATGTTGATTATGTGTTGACAATAATATTTTTGACATATTGGGTTAAATAAAATACTTTGTTAAAACTAATTTCACCTGTTCCTTTTTACTCTTTAAAGTGGCCACTAGGAAATTTTAAATTATATACATGGCTTGCATTTGTGGCTCATGTTATATTTCTGTTAGATGTTATTGCATCAGGTCTCAAATGGCCTCTCTGACATTCTCAGGTCAGGGCTGGTGTCATAAGCGGAGCACTGGACTCAGAGTCAGAAGCTTGGGCTCTATTCCAAGGCCTTCATGTTACCCAGCCTTACAAATAACCACGAGCCCACTGGTATGGAGTGGGCTGCCTCCCCTCTCCAAGCCTTTCTCCTCATCCAGAACGCAGCTCCCAGTCTGCAGTTTCCCACGGCAATTAAATGGGTTGGTGGCCCTATGAGCACCAATGAGTGCAGAAGGTGCCAGGCACATAGTAGTGGCTCAAGGTGGTGAGGTGGGTGGGCATTATCGGGCCAGGGCTGCTGGGGTGTACAGGAGAGCTTGGAGCTGGCCTATATTCCCCATCCCCACCAGGTTCTGGCTCTCCCAAGGGCTGCTGGGTATAGACAGGGGAAGAGTACTGGACACACCCGAGGGAGCTGAATTCCTCGATCCAGCCAACAGGCACACTATCCCTTTTTGGCCTGCTGCAAGGGACCATGGAGAGGATCAAACAATATGGCGGGTGGTCACTGGCTTTCCAAATGGCATCTGGGCTGGATAAGAGGGTGTAAGTTCCTCCTCTCTCACCCCAGCCCCAGTCAGCCAAGGGCAAGGCTCCCACTGTGGTCACACAGAACATTCCTCACAGCTAGGAGGCTGGGTGGGGAGGTAGGTTTAGGGGGACAAAATAGGCCAGAAGTACACACCGTTCCAAGAGCTCCCATGAGCAGTCCACCGCTGCCCTGGGGTCTGGAGCCCAAGAAGGGGCAAATCTCCACCCCAGCCCCAGTCAGCCAAGGGCAAGGCTCCCACTGTGGTCACACAGAACATTCCTCACAGCTAAGAGGCTGGGTGGGGAGGTAGGTTTAGGGGGACAAAATAGGCCAGAAGTACACACCGTTCCAGAGAGCTCCCATGAGCAGTCCACCGCTGCCCTGGGGTCTGGAGCCCAAGAAGGGGCAAATCTCGCTCATGGGCTTGGGATAAAGATGGGGGTCAAATTGGGGGCTGTCAACAGGCTTAGGTGGGGCTGAGCACGGGAGGCTCTTAGGGGCCAATGATGACATTCCGATAGCCCTTCACAGCCTTCAGCTTGTCACTCTCGAAGTTCACCACCAGCTTATGGCGGCCCACGTGGAGCGGCAGCAGGTTCACCCTCACCTTGATTTCTTCCCCTGCCTCCACGGGGTCTGGGCTGCAGACAGAGAGGAAGAGGTGAGGTCAGGAGAGGGGCCCCAGGACTGGTTCTTCCATGGTGGGGTCAGGCTAGATGACATGTGACTACTGAAAATGTAGTCACATGTCACATGAGGACTTAGCACAGGGCCTCTGTGAATGTGGAGCTATTGCAGTAATAATAAAATGGGCCCCCCTCACAGCCCTCTGTGGGGCCTGGACAATCTGCCCTGCTAGAGTATAGGGTCTGTGTGTGTGCGTGTCCGTGTGTGCATGGAAGTGGATGTGTGCTTGGGGGTAAGAGCAGGTATGCTCCGATGGCTGTGTGTGTGAAAATGTATTGAGCTGTACATACATGATTTGTGCTCTTCACACAAATAGGTATCTGAGTGACATTGCAGCAAAAAAGTAAAAGATAGAAGCATGTGCTTGTAGGTATGTATGCATGTGTGTGTGCATGCGCATGTGCAAACTTCAGGACGCAGATTCCTGCATTTAGGTGAGGATCCATGTGTCAGATGGGTGCTTAATGATTGAACATGTCACTGTTCAGGTTTGTGAAGACATGAGCATGGAACACAGCTAACGTGGTGTGGCCACTGAGAGAGAATGAGGGGGTGGGAACTCTGGCCCAAGGGTGTTTGGGAGTGAACACAGGTGTGGGTGTGTGGGAAATGAGAGGAGGGGTTATGGGCCAGGGATTGGCATCTGAGGGCAGTCCCTGCCCCATTAGCACCTGCCCTCTTCCCCCAGGCCCCAAAGCTGGAAGGACCAGTACTTACATCTCCACTACCTTCTGCTCCTCAGTCAGGCCAGCCCCCTCCACGGTGAAGGTGCAGCCTGATATGGACATAGTGAGTGGGTTCCGCAGGGACACCTCGGCCACCAGCTTGCGGTTCTGCTTGGGTTCTCCCAGAATCTGGAAGAGGGCATGGGGCAGATATCAGGGGCAGGTGGGCTCCAGGCCCCACCTCCTCTGTATTTACTGCAATTTGGCCTGATGTTTGCTGAATGACGCCGTGCCCAGCTTTGCCACTATCACTCCCGGCCTCTGTAGCTTGATTTCCTCTGAAAAACACCAATGATTGATACCTGCTCGGGTCTCCTTCATGGAGCTGCAGTAAGGCTCCACGTGACCTAGGGGATGTACAAAATGCCCCCACTGGTCTAGAGTCTGGAGTGGGGTCTTGCAGATGAATAAACTGAGGCACAGAGGGGCAAAGTAATATGCCCAGGGCCACCCAGCCTGTGCCCTTCACTCCCTGCCCCACCAGCATCACCAAGGGCCTGGAGGGGGCAGCCTTAGGAGTTTACTATTTTAAGGATCCATGATTCTGAGATCCCTAAATTCCTGGAAATCTAGGATTCATTCCTAGAGGCTATTCCTAGAGTCCCAAATTCTTTCAGCTTCATGATGCTTTTCTTTGATGAGGAAGGATTTGAGGACTCTTGGGGCATCAAAGGTCTTGAGGTTGCAGGTTTGCAGGTTTGTGCATGGTGCAGCCCTGTGACCCTGCCCCTACCACCAAGCCCTGCCCAGCCCACCCCTTACCCGGATCTTGATTTGTGGATTTTCCAGGTAGAGGTCCCTCTCGGCCAGCAGGTAGTTGTTGGCAGCTGGCTCGACGAGGAGGCCCCGCACCTTGATGAGGTTTGACTCCGTCAGGCAGTCACAGTACTTCTCATAGAGGATGCGAAGAGGAATGCTCTTCTCTGCAGAAGGGGGAGAGGGAGGCTGTGCATGATGGCTGAATCATTGTTCCTGCCTGCCCTCTTGCCAGTCCACGAGGCACACAGAGGGGAAAGAATGTGCTTGAGGTCACACAGCCAGAGCAGCTGAGCAGGTCCCAGGCCTTCCCCCATGTGCCCGACGCCAGGGTTCCCATGGAGGAGCTGGGGACGGGAGGCAAACAGCCAGTGGGGGAAGTGTTGAGCTCCAGCAGGCCTGGGTTCTAATCCTGCCTCTGCCCTTTCTAACTGGGGGCCCTGGGTGAGTCTCTCCACCTCCCAGGACCTCAGTTTTCACATCTGTGTAGTAAAGGCACTCATGAGGCTATGTGGAGGATTAGCTGAGCCCAGGTCACCCAAGTGCCCAGCATACTCAGCACTCAGGGTGTGTTAGCTTCTGTTGCTCCTGGACTATCGACAACCCCAGCAGGGCGGTACTTTCATCACTGCCCAATTTACAAATGAGGAAACTGAGGCTCAGGCAAATAACATTGCTCCAGGCCACGCAGCTGGTACAGGCACTTGAACTAACCATCCAGATCTAGTCCAGCAGCATCATCTGCACTCTCTGGAAAGTGTCTCTTGTGGATATGAGCTCATTTCCCTCCGTGAGGTTGGTGGGATTGTGCCTATTTCACAGATGAAGAAACACCTCGGCCAGTAAGTGCTCAGACTCGGATACCTGGCCTCTGGCCCTGTTTGGCCACTGACTGGCTGTGTGAGCCTGGGAAGAAGACCTCTCCTCTCTGTTCCTTCTCTGCTCCCGGGGACATCTGACATCTGCTGGGCAGAGATAAGACCAGAGGTCATTTCCAAGCAAAAGTACATAGTGACGAGGTGATGAGAAAGAAGCTGGCAGGGCCAAACCCTCCCACTGCAGAGCAGTGAAGTGTGGTTTTTAGCCCCATGTTTCTGACAAGAAGACTGAGGCCTGAGGGCATCAGGGTCTGTTTGTAGGAGGCAGGAAGGAGCAGTGAAAAGGCACAGGACTGAGAATCCTCAGGCTTGTGCAGGGCCCTCCTTGTCTCCTCACTCACAGAGACCCTCCCCTGGCCTTCCTGTCAACAGGAGCACTGGAAGGATGCTCTTTTGGCCCCCGGTACCCAGCCAACCTCTCGTTGTCATTGTCCTGCAGGCAGGAGCCAGGGCCATGGCCACAGATGCTGTTTTCTGCCTTCTGTCCCCTCCCTTTCTTCCCAAACTCCAGCTGTTCACGATTTTCACACATCTATGTAAATCCTCATTATCCTCCTTTAAATCAACTCACTTTATAGTTTTTAGCCTTTTTGGCTTAGGGAAACTTTTCATCGTTATTTGCGGCAAACCCATCTCAGTTGCTATAGATAGAAAGTGTCCAGTAAAAATGAATGCAAGCAAAGCCATGCGTATTCAGTTCTGGCTAGAGACTAGCATCTGCTGAGGACTCAGTTTGAGACCTGGATTTGCTGTTAAAGAGAGAGATTAGTAAGGGTTAGGGATGCCAAAGACCCATTAGCACCTGCTGAAACTTTCCCCATGAGGTCATCTGGGGACTGATTGAGACCCAAGAAGACAGTCACTTTGTCACTGTGTGATCCCAGGTCTAGGCCCTGACCGTGCACACTGGTGGTCCACATCTCACTCTTTGGAAAACGCTGCACAGCCTACCCAGCCCTTTGACTTTTCATTCCCAGGGTGGATCTGCTCCAACCTCTGATCAGATGACGTGATCTGGGGAAGAAAACCAAACTTCTGTGCCAAAAAGGACAAAAAGGGGTGAAAATTACTAGATCAAGACCTGGTGGAGCAGAGTGGAAACTCTGACCTGCTGCACAGGATAGAAGGAAAACATTCTATCTCTGACAGGAGCTTAGAGGATGTGGCCCCCACTGTTGACTTTTCCAGGAGGTTGAGGCCAGGGCAGGGCTGGACCTTTGAGAGTTGCTGTCCACAGGCCAGTGACCACAGCCTTGGCATTGGGCCAGATGCTGGCTGGAAGGAGGAAACATGTGTGCTCAGTCTCAATCATTTCTTGGACAATTTGCCCTGTTGGAGAAGGTGCCCTGGGATGGTCACTGAGGCCACACTGGCTACATTCCCAGTGACCCACCTGGAGGGACAAGAGAGAAGGAAGAGAGGGTGGGGGTAGAAAGGGAAGGGAGAGGAGTGGCAGAACCAGGAGGCAGGAGTGGGGAACAACTGGATTCTGTTCAGCTGTGCAGGCCTGGCTTCCTGTCCATTAGTACATGGAAATACCCCAGATGATGGTCACTGAGGCCACACTGGCTACATTCCCAGTGACCCACCTGGAGGGACAAGAGAGAAGGAAGAGAGGGTGGGGATAGAAAGGGAAGGGAGAGGAGTGGCAGAACCAGGAGGCAGGAGTGGGGAACAACCGGATTCTGTTCAGCTGTGCAGGCCTGGCTTCCTGTCCATTAGTACATGGAAATACCCCAGATCTTATCATCAGAGCATAGCAAGCAGCTCAGCCAAAGTGTGGGGGATTAGGATGAAAGACTGTCTCAGGTTGACCTTGGCGTTGGAGGTCCCAACAGGACATCTTGGACCAGCTCCACCTTCCAGCCACAGGGCAACACACCGGGCTTCTGCCCTCCCCTCAGGCTGTGCCCTCGTGGGTCTCCAGCAGGAGGGACCCCCCTCTGTTGTGAGCACATCCCCAGGATGATGAGAAAAATTGGGAGGCTTGGCTGAAGCCACTGAAGAGCAGTGCTCCAGGCACCCTGGTGGTATCTGGGAGGCAAAGGGTGACTCCACAGAGGCCTGGGAGAAACTTATTTTGGCATCTCTGACTCAGGCCTGGAGTTCACCTCATGCCACGCATTCCAGGAGAGACACTTCCTCTCTCCAGAGCAGTTCTGAGTACAAGAAGGAACAGGCGGGTGTGCATTCAAAGGGCTGGAAGGGCCCTTCGAAGATGGACTAGGCTTTCTACAAATGGGGAACTTGTGTCTGGAAAGGAAAAGAGAAATATTTGGGAGCCCACGGCCAGTGGGCAGATTGCAGGAGCTAGAACCTGGGTGTCCTGACCACCCACACACCTGTAGGGATGGACCCTTGGGGCTGGAATGCAGAGGTGAGAGCTGGGTCTTTTCCACACCATTAAGGTGGTGGGGACACAAGAACCACCGAGCCGAGAGCTGGCACCACTGCATGGCATAGGAGGTGTTCAGGAAAGACCCACAGGGCTTCTCAGCCTCCCCATGCCACTTTGCACGTCTGCTCAGTGAGGAGTAAGGGCCCCACCATGTCCTGGCACCATTTTGCACTTTCCAGATATTTCCTAAGTGCACATCTTCTCTCAGTCCTCACAGCTGCCCATTAGGCAGGTGTACTATTGCCCCATTTAATAGACAGGTATAATCTGAGGCTCAGAGGACATGTTCACCTTGCCCTGGGCTGTACATTTAGAAGGCAGCAGAGGCAAGATTCAAAGCCAGGTCCGGCCAGCTTCAGAATATGTTTTTCAACAGCTTAAGTGCCAAGAGGCTCTTCCCCCTGGGGGCTTGGCCCCTGCTGAGGGACTCTGCCTGGCGCCTGACAGTGGGTCTGCCCTGGAGTATGGCTGTAGGAGTGCTCACGGTGGGCCCAAGATAGAAAAACCAGGTGGTGGCAGCTATCAATATCATAGACTCCCCCAGCCCGAAACACAGAGCTGCTTTCTTAGGAACTCAAGGGCTGTGCCCATACCCCAGCCTGTGAGGTCAAGAGTCAAGGAGGAGGTAACAGAGGAGAGGAAATGGTACTGGTCTGACAGGCAGGGGTAGGGGAAGGGGAGTACAGCAGACTTTGTAAACATGGAACATGTCTTGCCCTGGGGTATGATCGCCCTGGCTCCAGGGCCTTGAGTGCC